AGGCTTTCTACAGAAGAAATTTACCATGAATGGCAGCTGCAAGATCTCCATTGGGTATGTAATCGTAGATAAGCAACTTCTCATCAGCAGACCAGCAATATGCTCGAAGACTGACAATATTTGGGTGTCTGATCTTTCCAATTGCTTCAACTTCAGTTTGGAACTCCTTGTATCTTTGATCACCTCCATTTTCCAGTCTTCTCACCACCACAGTTGATCCGGAGTTGAGAACAACTTTATAGACAATTCCTATTGCACTCTTACCGAGAAGAAAGGCAGATGCTCTAAGAAGCTGCTCAAGATCAAAATTGAAATGCAAATCCAGTGGTACAAAACGGCACTCCATCTTTTCTGAAAGGGTCTCTATGCCCTTTTTTGAGAAGCAGAAAATCTCCTTTCCAAACATCAGTTTCTCTTCAAAGCGGTAACCACCAACATTTTGGACTTCTTTGCATGCAGAAGCTTTCTTGTGCAAATAAGAGAAGAGCAGTGCAACCAGGCAGATTCCCACCACGGTGCCAGCAACAGTTATAGCTGCCACACACAAGCTTGAGATACCATGTTTCCCACTCGAATGCGGAGGTTGGATGCCCAGTGGCCTATGTTGACATGAATTATTCAATGGAGGACCACAGAGCAGAGGGTTCCCAATAAAAGCTGTTGGTCCTACATTTGCAAGATTACCATTTTGCGGTATAGAGCCACTGAGATTGTTGAAGCTGAGATCGATATAAACAGCCCAAGGGAGACTTCCTAGGCTTGCTGGGATATTACCATTGAACATATTGTGCGACAGATCAAGACGAGTTCGCAAGCTTGACAAATTCCCTATGTCAATGGGGATTGAGCCGCTTAAATTGTTGTAAGAAAGATCGAGACTCTGAAGGGTGATCAAGCTGTTTCCAAGACCATTTGGGAGAGAGCCAGAGAAACTGTTATTTCTGAGGATGAGAAGCTTTAGTTTCCTGCAATTAATTAGAGATGAAGGTATTGAACCGTTGAATGAATTTTGCGAAACATCTAATATTTGCAGGTACCTGAGATCCCCTATCTCTACCGGAAGAGGTCCAGAAAATGAATTTTCTGAAAGGACCAAGCTTAGCAGCCCTTTTGCAGCGAAGAGTTCCACTGGCAAGCTTCCATGAAAATTGTTGTTCTTGAGGTTAAGATGGCGAAGTGCAGAGAGGCTTCCTAAAACAGGAGGAAGAACGCCATAAAGTTTCTCATCTGTGATTGTCAGAGAAACAACTTTGGCTTCTATGCAGTAAACTCCATGCCAAGAGCATGGATTCACATCCGAAGCATTCCAGTTGGCCATACAACCTGCTGTGGGGTTTCCCATGGATTGTTTGAAAGATAGAAGAAGATGACCTTCATCATTTACACCTCCTACAATAGCAGTATTGTAACATATGAGGAAAAACAGAGGAAACACAGGCGAAATCATCTCCAAGATCCCAAGAAGAGAAGTGGATTTGGGAGGATAAATGTAGGCAACTTGGAGAGGAAAAGAGAAAGCGTGAAAAAGTTTTCACTTTCTGGACATTATATACCGCCTACCATGTAAGAAAAGTTCTTATTTGGAGTATTGACTGGGGATGAATGTTTTGTCAAATGCTGCTACTTTAAAGATGGAGATTTTCTGGATGCTTTTGGGTGGGACAGTTAGCAGGTATCTGTGATTAGTCGGGCCAAAGACTCGGACACCCATTTTATCCAAAATAAATAAATAAATAAATAGCTGTTGAGCATTGATTAATTGGCAGGCAACATTATTACAATAAGCTTGTGTTTGATCATGTATTTAAACAAAGTTATCTTAATTTTGTCTGTCTGAGTTTGCTCTAATGATTTCTTTGGTGCATAACTGGAAGCACAAACTGTTAGTTCAAATTTCTGGAAGAGTAATGACTTGGACGTTTAGATGTTGACTTATGGGGCACAGAGGTCCTTGAGTTTAGTTATAGCGTGATTGGAGGCACTGATTTGCCCATCGAAATGCCGCTGAATGTGCAATAACATGGTCTGCAGCCTGCACAGGTAGGGACGGCTTGACTCTTGCCTATGCTTTTTGGTCCAGTAACGAACAATTTGACTTTGTGTGTCCTGGATTATCAACTCAAATCATGGTGGGGTTCTCATTAAATTAGAATTTTCTTCTTCTTCCACTTTTTCCTTTTTTAATTTTATTTTTATTTTTATGAATGCAAAACGGTAATTTTGTAAAATTAACTCATTATTATTATTATTATTTGATATGAACCAGCACTCTCCTTGCCAATTGAGTTACAATGTCTAAGTGCAATTTACTTAATCATACCCAACTTCAATTTTTTGTAAAATTAACTCTAGAGTCTTCCGATTTCTGAAACTTGCAAGGGGAGCATTCCTTACCAAAATGATCTTCAACTGCTTACCGAACCTCCTCAGTTCTCTTGCCACCAAAGAACTTGGCTAAATTTGGCATGACCTTTCTCTTCTTCTTGAGGAAGATTGGAGTTGATCGAGCCTTTGGTGTTGCAGGAGATGCTGACTTCTCAAACTTTCCTCGTCTTGATGGGGTTGAATTCCTACTGCTTTTCGAGGATTTTCTAGGAAATGTTGATCCCATTCTTTCTGCCTCTATCATTTTCTCACTTTTCTTTCTCCAACTGAATAATTCCCTCTCAACCTTTCTCTTTGCTGAAAGTGACCTTTCTGTTTTAAAAACCACCTTCTCCTCCTCCATTCTCATCTCCCTGAGTTCTCTCTGAGCTATTTCAGTCTTTATCAATATCTCCCTCTCACTGGCCTTTAATGCTTCAACCCATGCCTGAGCTGCAGCTACCTTTTTATCTGCAATTTCTTCTGCTCCTACTGCACGTCCTGTTAGGTACTCATACTCAAACTTTGATATTGTAATTTTGGAATTCTTCTGTGATGCAGAAGTTCTTCCTTGCATTGTATTTTCGATCAGAGATTTCAGTTTCTGCAGTGCTAAAGCCTCGGAAGATTTAACTGCCTCAAGTTCTTGCATTGCAGCCTGTAATCTTTCTTCAGCTAAGTCTATTTCAGACTCTGTTTTTCGGATTTCTGTCTTGACTGTTGCAGTTTCTTCAACAGCAAGTGCCTTCTGTTTCTTCAAAACCTCAGCTTCTGTCTTTAGCTGTTCAAGAGAGAGGGAAATACTGGTTACGATGGATCTAGCCTTTTCTTCAGCTGCAGTTGCTGCTTCCAGCTTTGATTTTGCTCTTAGCAGCTTCGAATTGAGGCTTTGAACTTTCATGTCTGTTTTCTCTTCTGTTTTCTTCAGTCGAGATATTTCTTCTGTGACATGTTTCAGCTCAATTCTTATGATATCCATTGAGGCCATGAACTGAAAACCTTCTTCTCTAACCAAAGCCAGTTCTTTCTTTGCTGCCTCCAATTCCTCCGTGATTGGAAGTAACAAAGGTGAACTTTCCAGTTCTTCTAGGCTTCGAAAACTATCATCAGATTGCTTCAAACTATCAGTTCTCTGAACCCTTTTGTCCATTTCCTTAATGAGCATTAGCTCATTTTGTAACACTCTAACATCAGACAATGTTACTATGAATTTATGTTCAAGCTCTTTGGATAGTTCAATCTCTTCATTTGCATCCTTCATTTTCTTCTTTGTTTCCTCCATTGTAAATGAGAATTCACTTGCTTCCTCCTCTGTTTGAGCTTCAATCTCTGCATGTTCTCTCAGAGCCTCAATCCGGGCTAACTCAACCAACACTTGTTCCTCATTAGCTGCATGAATGTCCTTCCTAAGAGCATCAACAGACCCAGAATTAGACCACAATTTCAAGCTTGATTCCTCAAATTTCTTCTCTGCCTGTGCTTTCTCCTCCAAAACAGAAGCCATCTCAAGCTTGAGTTTACTCAATTCCTGTTTCACACACTTCAATTCTCTCATCACTTCTACATTCTGATGACTCTCAATGTTTCCCACAGCCATTACTGCCTTCTCCCCACGACCGCCAGACTTCTTCAAAGCATCTATGTTTCTCATCTTTGCTTTTGCCTTTGAGTTTGATTCCTCAATCTGTGAAGTAAGCTCCTTAACCGTCTTCTTTGCAGTAAAGAGCTCAGATTCTGCCTTGGCCTTCACTGAATCTGCAGCTCTCCTACTGTCTCTATATCTACCAAGGTCCCTTCTTGCCATATGGAGCTCTTTTGCTCTTGAAGATGACTTCTAACAAATACCAGAGAATCACAACTTTGTTACTAAACAACTGAAATGCATAAAAATCACCTATAATTTTTTTAACAGTTATTTGGATTATACATACCTCTGGAGAATCGACCTGGGGTTTCTTCAGCGAAGAACTGCCATCAAGAATCCTTTCTCCATGTACATCAATGGTTGCTCTGACTGACCCAGTTCTTCTATCATCCTGCCTCCTCCACTCCATTCTAAACCCTGTTTCATTGCCAAAATATAGAACTGCGTATGAATACCAAAGCACCAAAGGCCAGAAAATACCCATAAAATTAAACATCACTAACCTTCTCTAAAACAAATCTAGAAGGGCAAAACATATATTCTTCTAATTACCCATATCAAACTGAGCAAGAAGAGACTTCTAGGAGACAAAGAAAAGAAGGAGAGTGTGTGAACTACTATACTTACCCAGAAACTGTTGGTTGATAGAGAGCAGAGAAATGGTGGTGGAAATTGAGATAATATGTAGGAAGGAGAGAGTGGCTGAGACAGAGAATCGTTAAGTCCTATAACAGCCAAAACCAAGAAAAAGGAATAAGAAAGACTAAACGGCAGAGGCTGGTGATTGCCAATTTGGAATGGGATTACTGTACCCATCGGTAGTATCATTCACTAGAGAGCCAAGAAATTTTGCTGGAAACAGACGTTGAATAGAATTTTTGTTTTACCAAAAAAATATCATACACTTAACCAAAAAAACCATGGTTGAATTTGTCTGTACTGACTTTTTATCTTGGTTTAGGATATATTTTTGATAAATTTTACAATAAATTAACTATTTTGAATGAAGATGTCACACGCACAATGCAATGTTATATTGTGTAATCTAATTTTTTTTATATTAATTTTTTAGTGTTGAAAAATTATATTAAATCTTAATTAATTTATAATATTTATTTTTTTATTTATAAAATTTGAATTCAATATCTTATTTAAAAAAAATTAAATTTTTTCATTTAAATTAAAACATTGTTAGTTGTATAGTATAATATTTAATAAATATATATAATATAATAAATAAATTCATAAATTAAAAAAAAATCAATTATACATACTACATCATATTATTTATAATATTATGCAGTAAACGTGTGGGCATAATTTTTCATAATTTGAATTGAGGAAGTAGGGTCAAATTATCAAGGCTTCATTGTCACTGTGGGGAAGAACAATGGATGTCTGGCTTTGGAGGTGATGAGATGGTTTAAGACTGTCACACGAACTAAAGGCAAATTCAGTGGCCACGTCTTCAGATGCCCATCCACCGAGTGCCTGGAACACTTCGATAATATTTTTCTAAATTTGGGGCTTTTTTTTTTACGGCAAATTATTATAATAGGTGATCTTTTTTTTTCTTTTTCTTTTTCTTTTTTCTGTAGAAATAATAGTTGAGCTTTCACATATAATAATATCACGTTAATGGATTAATACATTTCAACAAATTAACCAATCACAAATTTATAATACAAATCGAAATCCAAATCGAACATTAAATTGAATTATAAATTTATGATTTGTTTTAGAACAGAAGAAATTATGGACAGAGGATATTTTTTAAAGGATTAAATAAAATCAAAAATTTTTGATAATTAAAATATTAAAAATAGTAGTGAAAAAAATAAAATAAATATAATAAATCAATATACAAAAAAAATACATTTAAAAAATTTTAAGAATTTTATAAATATTATAATATTTAAAATATCAAAATATCTTAATTTTTACTTTCCTCTTTGTTCAAATGTCTTTTGTGTGAGACTTAACATCCTATTCAAATAGCCCCAAACATTTAAAGTTTCTAATCCTAAAAGCCTGTTTGGTTACCCTCACAGGATAGAAACTTTTACTGGGAATTTTTTTTTTTCTTTTAGGCAGATTATGTTATTGGGGGGAAGTTATGCAACTCTCTTGTACTTGCTCGCTCTCTTGGAAAAAAATATTTGTTGTGTATTATAGTAGACCGTACTAAAAATATAGTGAATATAATCAATTTTTTATTGTATAATCAATTATAAAAAATAAAATATATTCAATTGTAAAATTAAACTAATCAATTATACAAATTAAAATAATAAGTTATTTTGATAAAAATAATTAACTCTTTCTTATAAGTGCTTAAAAACTCATGAAAGTAGAGAGTTTCTTATTTCATCAAGTATTCTTCCATCTCCCCACATACAAATTTGTAGGCCTATATATATAGGCTAAGGGACATAAGGGGTTACATT